GGATTAGATTGACGATGTAGGCCTGAAAGGTGAACATTAAAGACCCAGTTCGATCCAAATAGACAAAATATGCCAATTGTTTTATAATGTTCTGTAGAAAGGTTAATAAGTTGCTATGGTTCAGGCATACGTAATGCATGTGAACACATGGTATTTTTATATAAACTACATTTACCGTGTTCCACACATAAGTAATGAATGTGAACACACTGTATTTTGTAAAGTTTTCCTGATTCAGGCATACTTAATGCATGTGAAACAAACTGTATCTACATGCTTTAACGCATACGTTACGCACTTGAACACACAGTATATTTTGTTACTAAGATTCGGGCATACATAATGTAAGGAACAGGCACTGTATGTATCATTTCTGTTACTAGTAATGTAAGGAACCCGCTCTGTTTATTTATGACTTAGTGTGAATCAGGCATACGTAATACATGTGAACACACTGTATGTATCATTTCTGTTACTAGTAATGTAAGGAACACGCTCTGTTTATTTATGACTTAGTGTGAATCAGACATACGTAATACATGTGAACACACTGTATGTATCATTTCTGTTACTAGTAATGTAAGGAACACGCTCTGTATATTTATGACTGACTGTGGTTCAAGCACATGAACACACTGTGTGTATTTTATTTTTGCTACTAATTCAGGCATAAGGAATGTAAGGAACTCGCTCTGTTTATTTATGACTTACTGTGGTTCAAGCACATGAACACACTGTGTGTATTTTATTTTGCTACTAATTCAGGCATAAGGAATGTAAGGAACTCGCTCTGTCTATTAATGACTTACTGTGGTTCAAGCACATGAACACACTGTGTGTATTTTATTGTTGCTACTAATTCAGGCATAAGTAATGTAAGGAACACGCTCTGATTAGTTCAGGCATAAGTAATGCATGTGACCACGCTGTATGTAATTATGAGGTACTGTAATTTGGACTTAAGTAATGCACGTACACGTGTCATGTGGTTCACACCCACAGGGACAATGTAAGGAACCCCTTTGATAACCTTATTCAGGCACAAGCCATGCTACCAGAACGCAGGTGTTTCAACAAGCCATGCTACCAGAACGCAGGTGTTTCAACAACATATGATTAATAATGATGGCATTGACTGCAGTGGCTTTTGACCAAGGGTCATTCAAGAGTTTCTTAGTGAATAATCTTTACTCAGCAAGGGCATGTCATGCAATACGGCCATGTATAAGCTGGACAATGCTAATCCGTGGTTAGTTATAGTCCCTTAACACGAACAGCAACTTTCATCGGGTAGGATTGAATATAAATCCCTATTGATTATTTGTCAAGGTATAAGAGTAATTGAACAATGTTGACAAGGTAATGACAAGGTTGTTAGGCAAAGAAATACAGGGAACCCTCGTTCTGAACAAAACATTAAACAATTTATTAATATTGCTGTGTTTGGTGGAATGTAAATGCTCGTATATGTTAAAACTGATCTCTGTTTAATTTCATTTTTATTAGAGCTGTGACGATAGATCGTAGGATCGATAATCGTAATATTTTATCTGACGATAAATATATCGATACCTTTTTCGTATCGTGATATGTATCGTTGAACTTGAAATTGTGAATTTTCACTAGACGGTTATGTCAATATATACACTGTTATTTGCTATCAAACTATACTTTTTACAGAAAATAACTAAAGATAGCATATTGTGATGTGCATCGAATCGAATCGTATCGTTCCGAGATTTCGCGATACGTATCGTATCGTGGAATTTCTGTATCATCATACCTCTAAATTTTACACCGTCAGATGACTCACTAGGACACCTTAATCTGGACAGAATCCATTGGACTTTGGACTAAGATTGATGCATGTTCGATCACCTCATGACGCCGTCGCATGAACGAGGGAATGAGTTGGTTTAACAGTGATTTACCAGTGTAACACCTATATCACGGCGTCTCAGCTTAATGTTTGTGGAACCCCGTAGTGATGGAGGTTTGTAGACATTTACCAGTTTTGTACACCCATAGGCAGGGGCATGGTGGTGAAAATTAGAAACGAAATCGGCGAGAACCGGATTCGAATCCACTATAATAGGTTTCTGGCGTGCTCATCTCTCCACAGCTAATTGCAGTGCCTTTTGTTATGTCTTTGTTATCAACCAATCAACGTCCTGATTGGTGAATGCTACTGTAACCAAAATACGTGTGACCAAAATCGTTATATAAGCAAATGCAATGTTAAAACTATGATCCGTAGACTCAGAGGCTGAAATATAACTTCCGCTGTCAAACACCTTTTCGTGTGAGCCATTGAAGCCTTTTAGCATGCGTATTTCAGGTCAAGGTGTCGTGAATTTAAAATTCCGCCAATTCGCTTTGTCTAGATTTCGGTTCATGGAATTATGTAGGACTGAGGTATTATCTGTACACGTCAAGTTAGCCTTCGGTTCATCAAGACCATAGGTCCAGTGTGACGTTTTCATGTCCGGGAGGGGCGGTGGGGTAGCCTAGTGGTTAAAGCGTTCGCTCGTCACGCCGAAGACCCGGGTTCGATTCCCCCACATGGGTACAATGTGTGAAGCCCATTTCTGGTGCCCCCCACCGTGATATTGCTGGAATATTGCTAAAAGCGGCGTAAAACGAAACTCACTCGCTCATGCCAGGGAATTCATTTGACTGCAAACAACTATTTTCATATTCGATACTTGGAAACCAACAAAGGCATTTATTCAATCTATCACTGCAGTAGGGAGATTGAGTTCCGTTGCAGCACGTTGACAACCTCATTCTGCATTGAAGACACGTACGACGTTTAATCCAAAAAAAGTCCAAGAAATGTCCCAAGACTGTACGGGTAAACTAAATAACAATGAATAATTCAACAACAAAGATTGAGTGATAACCATTTGGGGTTTTTTCAACTTGGGGTTGACGTGAAGGGATTTTTTTATTAATGCTGGCTTGATTTTCGATCTTTCGTTTAGTGAAGCAAACAAACTAGTATGGAAGTCACGTAACTGAACAATTATGTACATTAATGACGTAAGTACGATAAATTTGATGGAGTGAGTGAGTGATTGAGTTTACGCCACTTTTAGCAATATTCCAGTAATATCACAGCACGGGACACCGGAAATGGTCTCCACCCGGAATCGAACCCGGGACTTCGAACGAGTTAACCACTTAGCTACTCCACTGTGCCGTATATTTGATGGAGGGGCGGTGGGGTAGCCTAGTGGTTAAAGCGTTGGCTCGTCACGCCGAAGACCCGGGTTCGAATCCCCACATGGGTATAATGTGTAAAGCCCATTTTTGGTGTCCCCCGCCGTGATGTTGCTGGAATATTGCTAAAAGCGGCGTAAAACCAAATTCAGTCAGTCAGTATATTTGATGGAACAAGACTATCTGAGATAACCATGTCCGCTACTTTGACAACTGAGATTGTACAAACGCTGACACAGAGAGTGGGTGAGTGAGTTTAGTTTTACGCCGCACTCATTAATATTCCAGCTATGCGGCGGCGGTCTGTAAATAATCAAGTCTGGACCAGACAATCAAGTGATCAACAGCATGAGCATCGATGTACGCAATTGGGAAACGATGACACGTGTCAACCAAGTCAGCGAGCCTGACCACCCAATCCCGTTAGTCGCCTCTTACGACAAGCATGGGTTACTGAAGGTTCATTCTAACCCAGACCTTAACGGGTCTGAAAGAGAGACGATCGGAGGGTGAAAATAACGACAGCCATTAAAAAATACTCGTAGACTTGTCATTGGTTAAATTGTGGTAGGAACCAAACTTCAGAAACACAACCACCACAAATCACTGCTATGCATTGATGTTTAGTAGGCACGATTTCATTTCAGTTTTGTTCGTGAATATTTAAACAAATGATTAATGTTGCAAAGCATGCTAGTTCTTGGACAATATTCAATATTCTGCACAATATCAAATTTGAACAGGCGAAGATATGTGTGTACTATATATCATTTCGGAAAGTATTGATGATATTTCATACAGCTCATATGTTTATAGAATTCAATAAAATAGTCTCGAATCATGCAATACTTCACTTGTAAAGACACGGTGATTCCTGTCTTTTGGGTGTAAAATTGTTCATTTCTTAAGAGAAAATACTTTGTAACTTAAGCTTCTTTGCTACACGGGTACTCGATTATCTGGCTTAGAATGTGAATATATGGGGAAACATCTAACAATTTAAATACAGTTTGAAAGGATAGGTTAAATTAAAGTCAACCATTAACGTTGCCACGCCGAGAATAGAACAGACTGATAACTTGCACAATGAATAATAAAATTCATTATTTTACAAGGAAGTTCTTAATTCATTATTAGTAGAATAAACATTATTTACAGATTAACATAAAAAGATGCAGTACAGAGGGTGATCCTAGCACAGTCAGGCTGGTTTGGCGTGGACCCCTCTACGCATAGCCCAGATAGCGAGATGTCCGGGGAGGGCCGGTTGATGGAACTGCATTTAACCAATTTTACCATGGGTAGAAATATGCCCAGGGCCACTTTCAGCAAGTGCTACGATTGTCATAAATTAGTGTTAATGAATAGTTGTTAAAATTAACTAAGGGTTAAGGTCGTAGCGTGAAACGGGGCCCTGGTCATGATCAACTTCCAAGAAATTATCCGAGTTAACCGGCATGGTCTTAACATGGCCAGGGCTCGCTTGCACGAAGCGATCTTAGCGCTACAATGATTGTAACTCCCATTCTCCAACATAGGCTTAAGATAGTCGAAGCGCTAAGATCACTTTGTGCAAGTGAGCCCAGATCATTACATACACTGTTGAAAGGATCCAGGTCAATACTTCGAGTTATAAGAGGTTAGACACAGCCGAAACATCATGACTAAACAAGCAATACGCATCGACCAAACTTCGAGACAACCGTTAATTGGATACAACGATGTTTCGTTGTATCCGAATAGGGTGGATCTAAATATAAAGCTACATTGGTACTCACCGTGTAAAACTCGTACATGCTTGAGGTGTTGTTTTCATAAGAAGACACTTCTTCACTGTTGTTCCGACTTTGGTTGTCCATGGTGGCCATGTCCTGTCTTTGAGTTGAGTATCAGCTGTTTTGGTCCTTTGGTGCTACGCTCGGATACGGCTAGATACGCTCAGCAGATCAGCCCAACATGTTCCAACTTACGAGAAGGTGTGGAGACTTTCTGAAACCAGCCAGTCACTAATGTCCAAAAAACCAAATCCAATGAAAACAGGACAACTCTTGAACACCAATTTGTTGACTATCTCTCTAATACGACTTGTAACAAGAAATCTGTTTCAAAGCTCCAGGTGGCCCAAGCAGGTGATACGTACAAGTATATTTTCATCCATCTGATGGTAAAAATAAGTGTTCTATAACATATATCCCAATGATAAATGTTTTGATCTCGGTTATCCGTTGAAATCCTTCATGGTTACTTCTAGGAATGGCCCCAAACCAAAAGCAGTGTTTAGAATATTAAGTCTGAAATTCGTAATGTAATCCTGAAGTTCAAGGCACCAAAACCTTTGAATGGCCGCGGAGAGTATTAGAGTCCATTAACTCTTTCCGCCAGCATCCAGAATAGGTAGCTTTGACAGGGAGCAGGAGTATTCTGGCTCTTGTTGATCTCTGGCAGTCTGACTCTGTAACAATAAAGAAAAAAACATTAATTCAATTTGATTAATTTGATTGAATAGAAAGCGGCACCGTTGTCAGCCAATGGACAGACATGCCATGAAGAAAGGTTAAAACATCTTTCCGAGGCATCTTCCATCAAAGTACATGTATAGTTTCCAACTCTCTTGCGCTAAAATATAGGTTATTGCATATATCAATTTGCATGAAATTACAAAATCAACAAAAGTGATCACTGTGTTGAATACTGCCGTCTATTTCCGAGATTAAACTGAGACTAATATGTTCGAAGTGTTTTACAGTTTTCAATTTGCCCAAGTACCTTTAGCGTTTAAACCTCATTGTTATTTTAATTTTAATCAAACGACTGGACGATTGTCGCAGTGACGACATGCAGGGCTGTTTAATTTGATACCGTCTTATAATGCACTCAGTTTGTTCCGTTCTTAACTTCATTTTCCTAATTGATATATTTGCTGGTGTATTTCACGAAATCATTACATTCATAAGTCTTTATATCAGTAATATAGCAACAGATAGCATGTATGTAACTGGTGTGCACAGTTTATTTTAAAAAGAAAAACAGCGGGTGAATTTTAAGATACAAAAGGATGGGCGTATGCCACTAGCGGGAGCCATTTCCATGTGATGATCGTTTTCTACCTTTTTCAAAACACATTGCCTAACAATTTATTCATTATATAAACACCTTTGCGTATACAAATCCCGATGTTAAATATGTCTCGTACGCTTCAAAGAATTGGCAATGATCCTTTGCACCACTTTAACCAACATCAGACAGCCCATCCACCTATTCACCATCCCAAGTCGACCCAACCCACATCTGTTCCTTTACCATAGGTCCTTACCCAAGAAAATGTGTCTCGATAAATATTGTAATGATTATATTTTTTACATTTATATCTTCGGGGAAGACTACACTCCACAGACAAATACTGTTTCCAATATGATATTATTCCTCTGGCGAGACGAGACACACATTAATTATTAATGAAGTCCACAAAGGACATTGTTGTTGCTATTGTCCTAAGGCCTTGTGTTGTGCATCAGAGATAATGGACTTATGTGTTGAATGTGGCTGAGAGAAGCCATTGGTTCTTCACCGTTATTCGTTATTCAATAGAGGAAGGCGTTAGACGCAGGGATACGATAATAGTCTATGGTAACATTCATTACGTTGGCGCTTTGCTGCTGGTATGTTTCGTGTTCCCGTTATATGTTGCTTACATTACTCTTCACGTAAAAATGCGGGAATCTTTTTGATCGAAGGCTAACGGTAAGGAAAGAGAAAATACGAGAATTGTCTATGTTTCGCCATGTCATTAAGTCGTGGCATACGGGAAATATCCGTGGGGAAAGATGTGTAGTGAGTGAGGGAGTTTGGTTTAACGCCGCTTTTAGCAATATTCCATCGATATCACGGCGGGGGACACCAGAAATGGGCTCCACACTTTGATCCCTTATGGGGAATCGAACCGGGCCTTAGGCGTGACGAGCGAACGCTGTTCCCACAAGGCTAACCCACCGCCATTGCAAGTGTAAATAATGCAGATTCATGACAATTTCATAAAAATAGCAACCGTTTTCAATCGCGTATTGCAATAACAATTCATATACTAAAAGCTAACAGTACAAAGTCATGAGCACATTTATAAAATAGCAACCGTTTCCTGTCGCGTATTACAATAACAATTCATATACTACCAGCTAACGATGGAGTCCAGAATGATAGCCCACCTAATGTGATTGTAAACGTCTACAATTGCTTTCCTACATGTGTCTACTTAAGCTGTATGGGTTTAATCTAAGCGAACTGATTGCGTGCGTATGGAGTGGTCTGGGCGTTGTGACTATGACGGAACCTAGTCTGCAGTAGACTTCCCAGGAACCAGACGCTGACAGTAGCCAGACATTCGTTTGACAACAGACTCCATGGGAGATAATTAGTCGTGACAACGGCTAAACGAAAATTTGTAAGGTAGATAAAGGCCGTACATATAATTGGCGAAAAGGACGCCAGAAATCGGAATACACACCTTTGACTAAGTACCACCATTCTCGTGTGAAACGATTGCAATTCTGTGATACAGTCTGGTTCAAAAATAATTTCCCACATTGTAGTGATCTGATTGGGAAAATTATTACCTCATACCACAGATAGGAATAAATAGAGAATAATAGCCGGAGAATAACCAGTATTGATTATCATAGAAATATGTTCTGTTTGGCGTTCGCCGCGAATAGCATAAATTGCTGATGCTACGTAAAACAGTACTCACTCAACTTTAAGGTGTAAAAGGCAAAAGGACGTTGAAAAGTGCTTGAATGGATCACTTCAAATCAGTGTCGTCAAAGAGCCCGTTGTCATTTTCTGCTTTTGAACTTTTACTTTTATTGTCAATACAGCAAGCCAGAAAAGAACACTTTTTACAAAAGGATTCTATTCTCAGCGGAAGTCGCCATGTATGTCTTGACGCGAAATATGTCAAATCATCAAAGTGAACTCCAAACGACTGATAATCACCAGAAACCCTTTAATGGTGGCCTTGTCTTTAATGACAAGGCTCCTGGCAACTTCGTTACCCCAATGACGTCATCGCCGAGGCCCTGCGGCAGACTGGGTGTTGAGCAGGTGCGACTCAAACGATATTCGGAGCTCTGTCCGTCCGGGCAATATCTCCATGGTCGGTGTTGGGAAATAAGGACAATAGCCTTGAGAGGCAGACTAGTAATGAACGGACGCTAATTATCTTTAAGGTTACGGCTCCGTGACTCCGAACAGCTATAGAAACAACCAGTTTAGTTTAAACTTGTTGAGCGAAGTAAACGCGCGTAAATCAGCTTTCAAATTTTATCGATGATGAGACTATTTTGTCAAGAGGAATTAAAATTCTTGAAATACGAAGAGGAAATGGATCAAGGTGAGGTTGAGTTAAATTGAGGCCTACCATCAAGGCGATTTGACATGTGTTGCAGCGTGTATGTGTGCGTGTGCGTGTGCGTGTGCGTGCGTGTGTAAACCACCGACTTTTCACTCATCCAGTGGACTCCCCATCTTCTGGTTTAAGGAGGCGGTCACAAATGTATTGAAACTAGCGATCACGGACCTTTACTAAATTATAAATGCAACTAGGATATGAGTCCACGGTCACTATCGACAATGAGTTCGTAACGTTACGACATGTCGTAACTCAATAGTTTTTCATAGACTTACGAACGCTTTGTGTATCGGGACGCAGGTCTTTACTTTAATACGTGCAACCGGGATACGATGCCTGGCCTTTGCCAATTTAGTGCAAGCCGGACAATAATCTACTTAATTATTGCAACTCGGATTTGAAGTCCGATATTTGTTAAACACACAAGACAATCACACAAGCGCGGGTGTTCAAACAACGACTGTCAGGGATTCCGGGTAACTGATGCCGTAAAATAGAAGATTCGAACTCGAAGGAAGTTCGACCTCACAACCAGTCACAACCCCCTTCTACATCAGTTTAACTGACAACCATAATCACTCCCTCGCTTATTCACAGTGTGTTAAGGAACGACTTTATCCGATTCACTTTCTTTCAGTTTAACTTCAATGGCAATGTATCCGTGAACATCCGGGTTAGAATTGGTCTTCCGTAGTCCATGCTTGTCGTAATAGGCGACTATGGTGGTCAGGCTCGCTGACGTGGTTGACACATGTCATCGTAGGTCAGTTGCGTAGATCGATGCTCATGCTGTTGATCACTGGAGTGTCTGGTCCAGACTGGATTATTTACAGCGAACTAAAGATGTGGCGTTAAACAACATGCAAACAAAATCCTTAGCAATGAACGGACAAACCAATGAATCATACAGCGAGGGACGCCTTGTACAGTTCTCACAATGTGACGACATTTTAACATTCTCTCCACACTGGCGCCAGTATCATCATTTTTATCCACAGGATAAACTGATATTTTCACTGTTGCATCATGATAGGGATAAATCATTTTTTACCTACTGTACAACGACTTTACAGATACAACGTGTTCATTATTTTCTGCACGTGAAAACCAAGCACGCACATATTGTCGTCTGGTTGTACAGTCCGGGCACAAGTGCATTCCGTGACAGGCTCGGGTTCTAGCAAGAAGCTAGTGTTTTCAGCAGGAATTGATAAACATGACCGATTCCTGAAACGTCTCATGAGATTTCCAACCTTTTTGCTTCAAGCTATTCTTCAAAGGATACAATTACAGTGTTCATTGTCATGATGGTATTTTGACCTTTCATGTGTTTGATCTCTAATGTAAATACAGTCAGCAGAAATTTCAATTTTGATATCAAATTTTGATATCAAATTTGGATTTCTTTGGACCCATAAATATTGTAACAATAATTGAGAAAAAAAATACAAAGCAGCATTAATCAATCATAAAACACCAATGCGCAAGTTTCGTCAACGTCTGTCGCTTTCTCGTCTCGTGTTATCGCTTTCTCGTCTCGTGATATCGCTTTCTCCCTTTCTCGCCTCCGAATTTTAAGGCGAGAAAGCGATGGCCCTAATCAGCCACCATACAGAACGGCTTGTGGAGAAGTCAGAGAGGCCACAGTCAAGAGTTGCATTTCTTGGCCTGCCCGGATCCGCAAATCGTATGTCCTAATCCAAGGTTCGCCGTAATCAGGATCCGGGGATTGTTATCACGACACAGGTGGAAACACAAATGGGCTTAGCACATAGCATTCATGTTTGGAATCGAACTCGAGTCTTCGACGCAACGAGCGAACGCTTTAAACATGGCCTCTTACCGCACCAGCGAACGGGTGACGAAAGCTATGCGGAAAATGTCTTTCCACAAAACAGAACACGAATTATCAAAATCGATATAAAAATCAATATACGCTAATAGAAGTACATAACGATCGGGAGACTATATATAATCTGCCTGACAACCATTAAGGTCACATAACAGAAATGTTAAAAGTGTTAGTAAGAAATATATTGAATGCAGCCTCGAGAAGACTGAAGACGTTCACAGATAAAATCGACTCAAAAATAAGTTGGTACAATATTTTTAACAGTAAGTAATATTCAAGTTTCGAAATAAGTATATTCAGTTGGGAAACATACATTGTTAAACCTTCACTACTCCCCTAAGGAACACCTGACAACACCAGAACCTTGTTATACCGTACAACTTTAACTATATATACCGAAACGATTTCATATATATCGGATTGTTTCGTTATTCAATGGGTCCAATATGCAGTGGTTCGACTGCATTGAGGGGCGGTGGGGTAGCCTAGTGGTTAAAGCGTTCGCTCGTCTCGACGAAGTCCCGGATTCGATTCCCCACATAGGGACAGACATTTCTGGTGTCCCCCGCCGAGATATTGCTGGAATATTGCTAAAAGCAGCGTAAAACTAAACTCACTCACTCCACAGCATCGAAGAACTCGAAGAACGATAGAAGTCTGCTACTAACAGCAAATCCTTCTATGTTCAGCTGCCGTGAAGGTTTCGGTTAGAATAATATCTCCCCGCACACAACGAAGCGATTCGGGTGGTCAGTCTCTGTGATATTGTTAATTACATGTATTCGTATTCGAAGAATACGAGTCATTGGATTGTCTGGTCCAGACTGGATTATAGCCAAGCCGCCGCCATTCACCTGGAATACTGCCGAGAGCGACATCAAAGAACAAATACGTATATATAGGTATATGTTTGGTCATAAACTGTCTTTGTTGCTGTCTTTGTTGGTGCCGTGAGACTTTGAATGTCCCTCTACTTTTTAAAGACGACAACTGGAAATTATTAAGATATACTGATGCGGTTATATACGATGCAAAGAGTCACCATTCAGATGTCTGTCAGGACCATCTCTACCACAAGCGTGAAGACGGTAGATCGCCACTGCTGGGAGCTGTGAGTGGTGTCAGTTATAGTAGGGGCAGCGAGCAGGCTACGTTTCCAGAATTCAGTTCCGATGGCCGTGTAAGACAAGAGCACTTCTAACAACGTATCGGTATTATCAGTGCCTGTCTCTTCCGTGATTAGTAGAAGGATTTCCTTTAATAACATGCAATCAATCACAAGAAGGATCGTGAGAATCCTTTATCAGTTAATATATTGATCTGTGGATTTATCTTTGACCGCTTCATTGCTGCAAAGTCCGAGAAGATTTCAGTTACAGTTGATAGTTACAGACAAACCGAAATCACGCGCACCTGTCACTCAGTGTCATCAAGAAAGTAATTGTATATGTAAGGTTCAGACATAGTGTATCAGTGTTATAACGCCACATTTACTACAGTCAAGTCAAGTTCAAATATCTTGTTTAGGGACCGTTCATAATTTATGGCTAGGTGGGCTGATGATGATTTTAAGTGGGGGTGGAAGGCGTCATCCATTTCGTTCTGGGGAGGTAGGGGGTGGAGGGCGGGTCGTACCACGATTTTTCTTCTCCCAGGCGATGCTCTTACCACCAGACCATGCACGCGGCCATCACTCTTAAAGCTTCCTTAAGATGAACATTTTGAATTAATTATGGGAACTTCATGTCATTGGCTCGGTGGTTCAGGATTTGCCTAATCGCATTGCACGTGATATCCCAGTGGACGCTGAATGCAAATTTGTGCCCAACACACCGAGAACAAACCCCTACTGATGTATGAGGTTTATGTCACATTTAATTAAATGACCCTGGAATCAGCGGACACGAAACTGCTAACTGGTCAACACGTTGACGTCACCGCAACTCTTGACCCTGAAATAGCCTCAGGTCACGTGATCCACCAGACAGGATATCCGTGATATTAAGGTATCATAAGCTATTAATGAAGAAATTCAGTTGAGCTTGAAGAACAGTTCCGTAACATGATATACGGGATTAGTGTTGCTCCAAGACACTGCTACTAATGTCTTGACCTTTTGGTTGTTTGTTTGTTTGTAAGTTTGTTTGTTCAAAGCCGCACCCAGGAATATTCCTACTGTAAATAATCGAATCAGAAAACACGCTGATTGGTAGCGTCGGGACACAATGACACGCAATCAACAAAAACTCCTGACCATCCGATACACTTATTCGATCTTACGACAAACACAGGTTGCTGGGTGTATATTCTTAACCCGAATGCCAACACGGATACATAATTCTTAGATAAAAACCGGCAAGCGATCCCCAGCTGTGTGGTTGCTATAGGTAACCGCCTCCTTACCTAACCCGCTAGCAATGCTCCAATGCTGAACTCAATGCTAAGCCCATGGATGTATATATAGTAACTCTATCCTTTAAAGAGGCAAGTCTAGATAAGGGGAAGGACGCCAGTCTCTTAGAGGTATATTTAATATTTTTAGAACTTATCAATTAAACTACTAATCATTACCTCAGATGCTTGTGCAAGTCTACTAACCCGCTAGCGTTGAGTAGCTAAGATAGATTACTCCTGGCTTTAAGTACACGTATAAAGTACACGTATGTGTCCTTTAAACTGTATTTACATCTGTTTTAGTCCTGCGTCAAGTCAACTGTATTGGTAACACTTATTCTGGTGATATCAATGTCAGGGCATTAATGCTATCGTATAAATACGCATATTGGGAAAGTTCAAGTCCTTTCATTTTCTTTGCCCAGTGGTCACCAGAACGATTCAACGTTGTCATATCGACCTTCTCCGATAGAGTAAAATAGAATATTTTCAAACGTTAAAGTTTTTTAAAGCAGATTAGTAAATTGAAAACAATAGAATTTCGCCGAGAAGCTCCTGGTAAATCGTTGACCCGATATCGTTCAATGTCCATCAATTCCGTTCCACAGATTTACCTAATAGAACTAAGATAAAAGAGGAAAGTCTCAACTGTTTCATATTTAGATCGATGTATAAAGATAAGTGTGACAAAATTGTCTCTGAAAGAATGTGTGACAACAGAGGTGACTTCAGATTTCCAATTGTCAACTTTCCGTTGCTGTGGATCAATATCTCATCAGTGCCAGCCGCTGGTGATCACATGTTCAGATACAATCGCGCATGTTCTTTCTGAGAGGATTTCAAACAGCGCCACACGATTCTTGCTCAAAAGTTGTATGATCAAGGTTACAACATTAAAGATTTCGGTAAAGCTTTCAACAAGTCGTATTATTTGCGTGTCAAGGACATTGCTAAATTTGATGCATCAGTAACAAAAATGGTGTCCAATGCAATTTGATATTTTGACTTATTCCATATGTTCCCGTGTTATTTCAAGTGAACAATTGGCTTGCCTTTGCATGTGTTTATGCCCGGTTCTACGAATTGTGCACGGTACGCTCAACCTTTCTCAAACAACTTGTATCATCACTGATTGATAGTGACTCATTAACACCTGCACCTGATACAGTCGGGTTCGTCCAGTCAGTTCCGCTTTAAGCGGAGATTCGTTTTGGAAAGGTTTTTGTCGGGTTTTTTCTCTCTGCATGATTACGTTAGTGAGTGAGTTTATTTTACGCCGCACTCAGCAATATTCCAGCTATATAGCGGCGGTCTGTAAATAATCGAGTCTGAACCAGACAATCCAGTGATCAACAACATGAGCATCTATCTACGCAATTGGGAACCGATGACATGTGTCAACCAGGTCAGCGAGCTTGACCACCCGATCCCGTTAGCCGCCTCTTCCGACAAGCATGGGTTACTGAAGATCAATATTCTAACCCGTGAATTCTTCACGGGTCCATGATTACCTTACACTATAACTAACTCATATTTCAACAAACTATTGCCATCATTGCTTTTAAATATGCAATCCAGAAAACGCGAATCTGTTGATTCTACATCCAAAATCATCATACATCCGACTTACATATGGTTGATTTCTCATGTTTCTCAAATTGTCCATATGACCTTTAGGCCCTTCAGTTTTACGGACATTCTGAAAGGCTAGTGAATGCTTTGATCAGGATCAATTGCAACAACTATTGTTGGATGTCATAATGATTAAATCGTAAAGAATCATTCCTGCGTCAATAACATGCTATTAGCTATTGTCCACGGCTTCATTAATGTTTAACTATGAAAGTTGATAATTGAAACATACAAAGACTAGTAAATATTCATAACCAAGCTGTATCCATCACTCCAGTGAAGGGTCAATCATCTCCGACTGAAGTACCCGCCTCTGTATTCAGCTATATTACTGACTGACTGACTGACTGACTGAGTTTAGTTTTACGCCGCTTTTAGCAATATTCCAGCAATATCACGGCGGGTGACACCAGAAATGGGCTTAACACATTGTGCCCATGTGGGGAATCGAACCCGGGTCTTCGGCGTGACGAGCCAACGCTTTAACCACTAGGCTACCCCACCGCCCCCAGCTATATTACACGCTTGAGTAATAATTATGCAATTGTATTAGTTGTTATGCAATTGCGTTATCGAGCGTCTGTTAGGATTCGCTCTTGAAGAAGACGTTATTGGTACCAAGTACTTCAGCATGGGGTGTACCGAATAACTACCACTCAGCGAATATGTAGCACGCTTTTTATTTGCGTGTATGTTTTACATTACTCAGTAAGACAATATAAATCAATAAATACTGATTCCATAAATTGTTCAGTAAAATAAGTCATTATCACTGACTGACTGAGTTTGGTTTTACGCCGCTTTTAGCAATATTCCAGCAACATCACGGCGGGGGACACCAGAAATGGGCTTCACACATTGTGCCCATGTGGGGATTCGAACCCTGGTCTTCGGCGTGACGAGCCAACGCTTTAACCATTAGGCTACCCCACCGCCCCTAAAGTCATTATCAAGACCATGTATATAAACTCTTTTCAATAAACATATCGATAACTATTATAACAATAAAAGTATATGAAAGGCGTGCATTATATCTTGCCCTGTTGAGAAAGTGTTTTGTGAAAAAGAAAACCTTACCAGGATGTAGTAATCGATAAATATATCCACTAACTGACGCAGATAGATGCAAACATGGAAATAGGGTCTTACCTGTCCCACACGATGTATACCTCCGCCACTGGCGACTGTGTTCGCGGACTGACACAGCTCGTGATGTGACAACGGATAGCGCCCCCTTATAACGTTGTCTTTCCTTTCCACTATAAGCGTTGGCGATATCGATCGTGACTGTGTGTATGCCTTCCGATGTCCGGTTTAGACAACGGCATGGAGGCTCATTACGGACTCGTATGATCATCAAGGTTTAGTTTGTATTTCTAAACGTGTTTTATTATTAATTTCGTCTACTTATGTGTTTACTAAGTTTTATTGTTTTAACTTCCATTTCTGAATGTGATTACACATAACATCTTAGAATTCCTTATTTGTTGGTGTGAGGTGAGATTGGGTTCAACGTTGCGTTCAAGATTATTGCATTTATATATTGACGTGAAAGTATTAAAATCCTTCCGGTCTACGGGCAGAATCTCTTACTACCAGACCAAGTAGGTTGTCGTTGGGATTTGAATATTTACGAGGTAAAAACATGATACATTCAATTGACATTTCCCTGTTTACAACATTTGGTATAGAAATCCGTTTCAGGTAACCAGCTTTCAAACTGTTTTTCAGTAACACTTCTGCATGTACACACGCTCTTTTGTCCATAATGAGTTATTATGAATCATCATACAACCTTTTTCCGATAACAATTGAAAACAATTGGGAGGAAAATGAAATAATTACGGAAATTAGACGAAATCTATTTAACTTCCAACATGTTTCAATACCATAACCGCATTTGCATATTTGCTTGGTGGAGTAGCATGGGCGTTCGTTCGTCACGCCTAAAGTTCGGGTTCTTTTCTCATTCTTACGGATACAGTGGTACGCAATATATCCAAAATATCGATAAAAAAAACTGTGTAAAAATGACGCAGAGACGTTTTTAAATTGAAGAGTCAGTTTTACGCTTCAGACTACACTTTATTGTATTCACTTGGCACAGTAGTCTGGAAAATCCATAAAACAATATATTAGAACTACGATACATGATATATCACATAAACTCCTTCCCACCCACATTTCAATCCCTACCCCCATGTTGACAGCAAAGATATCAGGTTGATGTCATGAAGTGTTTGCCTGCGTCAGTCTGCTTTTGTACAATGCGGAACTTGTAGTTATTGAACGTCACGCATCTGCCTCGCCTAGTGTTAAATTACTTTACGAAGTGTCATTATCCATTCATTAATACTGCAGTTGATCTGTTATAGACACTACATGGACAATTACAGAACTAACATAACAGGATCTAAAATAATGCAGACTACGCAAATTCTGTAACATTAGAAAAAATAGTTACATTAAATCTCTCACTTCATTATGTTAAGGGATAGTTCTTTTATTCTATATGATGTCAGGCAATGACAGACGAAGAAGCTCCGCCAACCCATATATATTTATGATTACTGTGCACTTAAGACCATTGTAGGTTTAAGGGCACAACAGACGTACGTTACACACATACACACACGCGCGCGCACGCACGCACGCACTTAAAATAAACAAGCAAACAAGCGAACAAACAAAACAGCCAGAAACAAGTAATAGAATTAACAGTAAAAAAGACAAAGACACAAACAACCTACAATTTTTCAAAATGCGTGGCACCAGTGACAATAATTGTAGCCTGGTGCAATTCCCTATTTTAGCTTGTACAATATGTTCTTGTTATTTACAGGCGCACATTTGACTAGCCTCTGCGTGTGTTTATGACGGTGCATGGAGTGGAACAGGACACGCTCAACATTTCATGAACACCTTGTACCATTTTGATCATGCTAAGCTCATGGCCTGAATACATTATATATTTATATATTTTTATTCGGAGAAAGTAGGATTGTCATTTCCTGTTTGTTAAAATGAAATACTTTCACCTCCATTGAAGCCCATCTAACGGTGGATTAACCCACATTTTTGTTACACCATGGCGTGTCAGGATGACTCGGACAGTGACTGATACAGGAGACAGGTCTTGAGGAAGGGTTTCAGAAACCTTACTTGTTGACTCTGCACTCTGTGATTCAGGCTGTCAACGTTATCCAAGGATATGAATACGTATGTTTGTAGTCTGTTTGTTGTTTAACGCCGCACTCACCATATTCCAGCCATATCGTGGAGGTGTGTAAGGAATCTAGTCTGAACCAGACAATCCAGTGATCAACACCATAAGCATCGATCTACGCAATAAGGATACGATGACATGTGTCAACCAAGTCAGCGAGTCAATCCCGTTAGTGCTGGCACATCAAGGAGCATGGTAGTACTGAATCTGGTTTTCGAACAATGATCATTCTGTAACATTCTGTAACGCCTAAGGGTCGTAACTCAACACCGCAAAATGGGGAACTTAACCTTTGACCTGCGGATCTTTCTAAAGGACAGATTTTGAAAGTGACATGACAACACTTGCGTTAGCTAAGAGAGCTAAAGTTGTTTTCTGCTTATAAAGCACTGTAAAGTATACACTTTACACAGGCATGCATCTCTCGTGCCTCGTGAAACTTGTATATTTCTTTGCACGGCAAACGTAACGGTGACAACTTGACAGCTGAAACCGTCCAGTTTATTTGTAATCGGGCAGTTTAATTCGAATATAAATAGCGGCACTTGTACGATCTGCAGCGTGTAATCGTGGAATTCAAGTACTCTGCACTTTGTCGTAGACAGATAGATAACTTGTGCCAACCGCTATCGGGATTAAAAAGTTCGACGCAAGAACAAAGGGTTTCTAATCCGATAAAGTTCTGAAGCTCAAATTAGATCTATTATAGACCTCCAAATACAGGAATTTTAATGTCCTGACATGTGAACGCATGTCAAATTAGATTTAAAGGTGATCCTGGAAAAGTATTTCTACTTCTCTGTAGAGAAATCGACAGCTGATATCTTGTTAACTGAACGAAGGAGCGCTAGCGACCACTCAGTCCTTACTACCCGGTAGACTAAACTATACTAAGCAGCAAAAGAAACGTCAGTTTGGAATTTTCCTTCGCAGAAACGGGTAACTGTAAACTCATTTAATGTTTTGATTGTATATTTTTTACAACAACTCCAACTTTACCTGAGCAAAGACATTCCTTCCCAAACTCAGAGTGGAACCCAGGAAGTGGTCTCAAAAACGTAACCTGATCTCGGAGATGGTACGGTGTTCTCCATGTTTTTCAAGCAACTCATGATGCACTTGCTGTTCACAAGGACCAGCCCTATAATATGCACCGCCAAACCTGGTTGAAACATTCCCATTACATTATCAGCAGGATGCCGCGACTCACGACAGTTCAGAGGAACCAGGCGCTAGGAAGACTTGAAGCTGGCCACACTGCAAAGGAGCCAATCACTTCCAGGTCAACGTTCGGACCATCTGCAGGCTGCAGCAACGTTTCCGGGCCACCAACACCACAAATGATCGTCCCCGTACTGGTAGACCAAAGGGTGACCACAAGACGACAAGACCGCCGTGTTGTGCGACAGCATGTACAGAATCCCTTCATGCAGGCATCCGAAACAGCACGCCAGACAGTGGGAACACACGGAAGACCAATCACTACTGATACACTACGCCGACGTCTTAACACCGGGAAGCTCCATTGCCCTAGACCTAACCGTGGACCTATCCTCTCCCCTCGTTATCGGCGTGAACGTCTACAGTTTGCCCTACAACACCAAAACTGGCGATACAGGCAATGGAGAACTGTTCTAGCAGAACAAGAATATGGCGACGAAGTGGCCAGCGTTACTCAGACCAATGTGTTACGGAAAGAGACTCATGGGGAGGTGCAAGCATCATGGTATAGGGTGGAATAGGCCTGAACCAGAGAGTGGGTCCTGTGGTGTTCCAGAACCTTGGTCCAGGGAGAGGAGGCGGCATCAGGGCGGTGCGCTACATCGACCAAGCTCTCAGACCCCACGTCATACCACATTTCGCACGTCACCGGAACAACATTTTCCAGCATGATAACGCCCGGGCCTATACTGCCAGAGCTACACGGGACTTACTACAGCTGAACGGTGTCAACATTATGCAGTGGCCAGCCCTTAGTCCTGATTTAATCCCAATTGAACATCTTTGGGATGAAATTCAGAGGACACTGAATAATGTCATACCAAGGCCGAACACAGCCTATTTATTGCGCCAGGCCTTTCTCAGAGTGTGGTTCCAGGTGCCAATGGCCTTTATCAATCGATTGGTGAACTCCATGCATAGACGCTGTGCTGCAGTTATTGCCGCTCGTGGTGGTCACACTAGATACTGAAGTCAAGAGTCTGCATGGACTGCAAACGTTCACGTAAAGTCTTGGAATTGTGCTGAGTTATTTATTGATGTGTAAAGATATTGTACACAAAAAATGTTTTTGATCCGCTTATTATGTCCATTTCTGTAATGATTTGATTACAGTGCCTATCTAACTTTGAATTCGTACAGACGTTTTTTTGCTGCTGAGTACATATATATTCACTAACCATTACATGTATGAGATACATAGAACAGAGAATATTTCATCTTTAACTTTATACTCTTGTATATTGAATTTCGGTTACCAATTTTAAATTCATTACATACTGTATACTTTCATGGATGTTTGCTCTGAAAGCGTAGCTTAATCTAATTCTGGCATCTGGTCATCCGATATTACGTCGTACCGTAAAGCGTTAAATAGACCAGGAGCACGGTTGGCCAACTCGCCCTTGGAGACGAAGTCAACCGTGCCGAGTTGCGAAGCCCATTCGTAGGTCCGAATCCCGATTCGCCCAGATCATATTCCTAGATGTGTTAGCACCATACCTGTACTCCAGAGTTTGACCAATGTAATAAAAATTAATGACTCATACATCCATCGCTTCAAGCTCCCCTTCCAATTCCAGCATCTTACACACCGTTTCATTACGGTTTCAAAGCGGTGTAAAACCAAACTCATTCACTCATTTGAATAGAGACTCAGGTCAAATTTATTTTAGTGGCCGTCTTGTAATCGTATTGACATCTTGTATTGTCAATGGTGTGACTTTCAAAGACGACATAGACATTAATGAGTGAAAAAATTCAACTTGGTCGAGCTCAAAGATTTGTT